GTTATGAATTTTTAATTTGCACTTTAAACTGTTTGAATGAATAATTTACACCCAAATTCGAACTTCTATCCATACCGTTATGTTCTTTATTAGTTAGTTTTACTTTTAATTCAATAAAAATATATAAAAACTAGCGCTGAATGAAAATTAAAACTAGAACTACTGTCCTAGATTTAGATTTATATATCGTATTGACAACTCGGGGAATACCCGAGTAATAATAAATTTGAAATTGCAAATTAAAAGTTGTATATTAAAAATTGTAAATATGAAATTACGCTTTTGACGTGTTTTCCAAAACGTCAATCAATTGAGAATTAACGAATGATTTTTTCAAAGCAACCCGTTTAGTGATTTTTTGCCGGCGAAAGCTTGGCGAGTACAAAACTCCACTTGATTGCGTTTAAAACGTCGACGTCATTCAATACGTTAATTAAAAAGGTGAAAAAGTCAACAAAAAAGAATTTGATTATAATCAAGTTTTCTTTACGATATTTTTTTTGGTAAAAATATAATCCAATTAACCACTGCATCAATTTATAATAAATTTCAATTGCAGTTTACACCCTGTATATTATATATTTAGTATTAGATTCACATTAAACGCTAGAACTAGATAAATAGCAAAACAGTGTAGAGAGGCTACAGCAAACAATTAACTAGCGCGGTTTGAATGGGGTGAATTGATTGAAATCGTCGACGTCAAAATTATTTCGTTTGAAAATCAATAATCGTGAATTATCGGTGGTTTGGTCCAGATTTATTAAATTGCACGCCATTGAATATTTTTAATTTTTTTTCCTTTCCACCCCTCTTCCATTCCTTTCAGTTCCTATCTTTATTCGAGTAATTCGAAAACCGAACAACGTCTACTTTTATTATTGGCGACCCAATTTTAACGTTCCCCTGAATTAATAGACCTCCTCTTCTGACTCGGAGGTCTTCCGGGTCTCTATCCGTGTAATTAAAGAATCGATCGATCGAATTGAAGAAGTGGAGAAACGAACGCTTCCACTTTTCAAAAAAGAATACCATTTAAAATCTAGTTTATTTCCCAATTAGTTCTAATACGATTTTTTTTAATTTATCACCTATTTCGAAAAATAATAAAATAAAAAATAAAACTACATGCTCTGTTTCTTTATACACGCCGACAAAAATGAAAAAATAATAAAGATAAAACTGAAGAAACGGATACCGGAAATAAAAAAAAAGAGTATAAAAGAAAATAAAAGATAAAAAGAGTAGAAAAGTGTGTACCAGACATACAAAGTAGGTGCCGGAAGTGGTCGGGTGTTGGAAAGCAGGTGCCGCTCCTTTTCGTGTTTCGTCGAAAAGCTCGTCGATGTTGAAAACGTGAACTTTGAAGAGGGTTCGACGCGATATCGCGGCGCGAAAGCCACTGAAAGCTCCCGAGCGCTTTCCCCACGTTTATATTGGGGTAGAACCTATCTTATTTTGTTATATCAAGGGGGTTGCGCGCGCTACTTTCTTTCAGGTTGTGCGCAAAAAATATTTAATGGCAGTAGAAAGTTATTTACGTATTAATTATATTTCAGTTAATTGACAGATCATATTTTCACTTCTTTCATATTCTTCTAATTAAAGTTACTTTTAACTTTTAAATTCTAACTGGTTAAGAGTCGCACTGAAACTCGTTAAACCTAAATCTCATATAAACTATAATTTTTCTCCTTTGTTCAACCGACATGACCTATTTGTGTACTTCTTCCTTCTTAGAAAGGATGATGTTAACATTATATAAAAGGCTTTACTACTATTAATGTCAATTGTGGGAGATACGTTTATGTTTTTTTGGCAACTAAAAGCTGTTTCTAAACTTTTCTCAACCATGAATATGATGTTATTGTTACCTTACGGTTTCAAAGGTTCGATGTTGCTGTATGGCAACGTTCCCATTTTTGTAGGATGTTTTTGTGTTATTTGGATTAAGTTGTAAAGCTTTGTAAACAACAGGTTGGTACTTGAACTTTGTTGCTTGATTTAATTTTTTGAAATTTCTGTTGTGTATTTAAATGAGGTTGAGTTGGGTTGAAATTACATATTGAATTTGCTACTAACCACAAAATTAGTCTCCTTTGGTTATAAAAACCCAAATCATCTACAAAAACGCAAGTCTGATACATTTTCAAAATGCCTTGACACAACTTCACACTTTCTTATGACATAAGAACAAATGTTGCTGCTACTACATTATTCAACATCCGCAGTTAGTAACCCTACGGAAACCGATTTGCTACTGTGGAAATGTCAGTTCTTCTGAACCTATTACGTATTTTATTCTTTTTTCACGTGTCTCTTTCAAATAAAGTAAAATTCTTTAGGTAGCCTTCCAAGATGCCCTCACTTAAGTTGTCCAAAAACTTACTTAAAACTGACATAGAACACATTGTCTAGCCTTGATGTTGTTGCTAGATAGATCAAGCATTCAATCAAATTTCGATGTGATACATCTACCACCTTTTATCCTCATTGAATTGAAATCATGTTTCAAAACATTTTTATATGTTACATATACTACTGAAAAGCTCAACTTCGCTTCCTGAATACTCTCAGTTGTATTACTCTCAGTTTTATCCTAAATGTTGATATATATAATCCAGGGGTGATCAAAATAATTCTTGTGTTAGTTCGAGTCTTAGTTGTTATTCAGCGTTAGATTGTTGTATATTTTTCTTCTTCTCTATTCTTCCACTTCTTTTCCGGTAAGTTCGATCAGTCATAATTCTTGAATCCAGCATATACTTGATCCAGCTCTCCTTCTTCTATGTTGATATCCATATTCAAGAGCTCTTTTTGGGGATCGGTTTTCAAGCATCATCATCACATGCCCATGCCAATTGAACTGTTTAGATGCAATTGATGTGATTTCAAAATGCCTATGTGAAAACCTATGTAAAATGGACCTATGTCAAAATGGACCTATTGTCAAAACGTTTTGGTTAAGACTTAAAGTATGGGTGCATACTTTTTCGTAATTGAATTTTCTTGTAAGATGTTTATAATCAATTGTATCAAACGCTCCAGACAAATCAAAAAAGCCTATTGCAGTTATAACATCATAATGTTATATCATATAGTATAATAACTCCTTCTGATTTCATTTTGGTTTTTAATTTATTAACTTTATGGTGAATAATTTTATCTTAAATAGTTCGACCATTATTTCTTCGAAACTATTGATTGCACTTTCATAATAACCACCTAATTCCCTTTCGCTTCGTACGAATAATAGCACTTGAATTAGCTGTAATCAACAAAGTTAATAATCACTGTAGAAACTATTTATTATTTAATAACCATTATTATTTATTATTCATAGCGCAACATCATTGTAACTTCAGCCAATTAAATAATGCGTTAAATGGTAATGATACAATATCAGATTTAAAAGAAATTAATAGATCGTGAACTGAAATTTCTACTAAAGTGGAAAGAATATTTTTTATTAATTACCTACATATTCCATGCAAATAAATACCACAATATTTCGATTCAATTTTAATTAATATAGATACATCATCCACATACAGAATATAAAAAAAATCAACATTGAAATAAATTTTAATTGATTTAAAATTGAATACGTGAATGGAATTAAAACAAAATTAAACTCAGATATTGTGTATTCGTAAAATACATTCAATTTAAAATGTGTACAGATTATGTCCAACGATGATTTTTTTATAATATTTCCAATAATTAATTTTGCAGGTGGATGGAAAATTAAAACCAAATATTTACTTTATTCTACTATTTATACAGAACAATTAAACAAATACGATGATTTTATTAATTATGAATTTATATGTATACATATATATGTGTTGTTGTGGTCGATCCAAGATTTCATCCGTTCTTCCTGTTGGTTCTCTTTGGAAAGGGGCAGACATTTCGCCAAGATATCACCAGGCATCTTCAGAGCGGTGTCGTAGTCTCCTGTCGGCAGTCTGCCTCGGATCGACCACAACAATATATATAATTTCAGTTTATAGCTTTTTCCGCCTTCCGATTGCAAATTTACAGCTTTTACGGTCCTCCCAGTACCCTGATGCCAGATATCTTTCGGACATCGCCTTCTTTATCCCCGATGCTCATCCCGTTTTTGGGCGTCCAATACTTCTTCTTTCTGTTGGACTCCATTACATCGATTTCTTCGGAATTCTTCTCTTTGAACGAGGATATTGGAGTTGTCTTCTTTGGACTTCGTCGACTATCGTTGTTTACGCCCCATCATCTCTCGTATGTCGATATTTCACACTCGATCTAGTTTAGTCTTGCCAGCTGCTCTTCTCCAGAAATCAATATCAACTGCCAGCTGCTGATTCTGTATTTGTTTATGTAATTACCAGGTTTCGCATCCGTACAGCACCACGAGGATGAAGATAGTGGAATATAGTTGTTGTTTTCTTTGCCTTTGAGATCTTTTTTGACCAAAGAAGGATGTTTATGGCTTTTGTTATGTTTTTGCCCCTTTGTAGTCAACTTCGTATTTCTCCTTCCCATCTTCCATTGTTGTTCATCTTAATTTCGTTAAGGGCACTCTTCGCATCCTTTCATTAAGGTGTTATCATTTAGCACCAGATCTTTTGCTTCTTAGCCCACGCAAAGATACGTATTAAAAATTTAAAATCAATAAAATTAAACGTCTATTTTAATGACCAAATAAAATTTAATGAAATAAGAAATAAAGTTAATTTAAACATATAAATTTCGTGAAAGTAATAATAATTTTATATGCTCCAATTCTGGTGAAATTCAGAGTTTCATCATTAACAATAGAAATCACCAGTTTCCTGCGTAAATACGTAAACCGCATCCGAGTTTAGTAAAACCGCTTTTAATCTCATAACGGAATTATAAAACCGCATGAATTCGTGAAAATGTTTTTGAGGAAAGCGATACTTGAATGATAAAACTTTTTGGTGACATTTTAATTTTCCACTAGAAAATTTGACGTTTCGTTAGTTTGCATCCCTGCCATTTGACATTTAATCAACATTGTGAAGTGTCAAATTGCTAAAGAATGTTTTATTTATAAAAGTTTAAAATTAATCCGATGATGTTGAATGAAAGTGCAACGACACAAGCCGTTTAAAAGTAGTTATGTATTCGCAAACCACATCCGCAATTGATTTCCTGGTTGGATAAAAACTTTAATAATTTTGTTTTTATTAATATTTTATTAGAAATGTCTGCAACGTTTGGCTACAGTCGAGAAGCTGTTCGAGTTAAAGTAAAGGTAAGAATATAATATTTTAGATGTTTTTATTTATCCTAACCTCACTTCCCTTTTAATTTTTGTTATTACATAGAAATGTGAAGGATCCCTGCAACCTGAATTTAGAAAATTTAGTGTAGATCCTCAAATAACATCTTTCGAAGTTTTACAAAGTATTTTAGCTAAAGCGTTTGATTTAAAAGGGGAATTTGCAATTAGTTATAAGGCTCAAGATGTTAACTGCTGTGAGACTTACATGCCATTACTTACCGATTGGGAATTGGAATCAGCATTTATAAAGTAAGTTTTAATTGATTTAAATTTTGTATGTATAAAGAAAAAATTATTGTTTTAGAGCTCACAATTCTTCTATGGTGACTGCCACCGAACCTTGCTTATGCTTACGAGTCGACTTAAAATCTTTCGAGGAATGTCCTGATGAATGGGAAGTTAAAACACCAATTATTACTCAAATAAGATTACAAGAAAATAAAACTGCACCAAGATTACATGGAATATTTAATCAAGTATTAATAGTTATAAATAAATGAGAGTTTAATAATTAAATCTTTATTGTTTAGGTGGGAAAAACCTTAAATATGGTACAAAGAGCTTTTAATTTTGGGGAAGATGGCAACATTTCCATTCAACCAACAAGACCACCACTTTCCGACGCTGAATTTCGTAAGTTTTTGGACCCTTTGGGACAAATTGTTCATATCAAAGAATTAAGATCGTTTATTTATTTTGGAGGGATTGATCCAAGTTTAAGGTAAATTATTTACTCCTTAATACTAAAACTATATTGTGTTTTTGTTTAATTTTATAGAAAAGTGGTTTGGAAACATATATTAAATGTGTACCCTGATGGAATGACCGGAAAAGAACGAATGGATTACATTCGCAAAAAAGCCTTGGAATATGTACAATTAAAAGAAACTTGGAAAGCTGCTATTGCTGCAGGCCCAGTTGTTGGAGAATTAGCTTATACAACGGGAATGGTTAAAAAAGATGTTTTGAGGACTGATAGACATCATCCATTTTATGCAGGAAGTGATGATAATCAAAATATAGCGTCTTTATTTAATATTCTAACTACGTAAGCAGTTTTTATTTAAAAAATAACGTTGATAATTACTTTTACTAATACATAACCTCAATATTTTTATTTACATTAATGTCAAATTCAAATTAGTATTGATTAATTTCGAAAGATGGCGCAATTTTTTTTTAAATTCTTAATTTTTTTTTTATTACATTGTAATAAATGCAATAAATATAATAATCCGGATTGTTTTATCTACATTTAGCATTATTCTTAAAAAAAAATTATAATTTTAGATAAAATAATAAAAATAATAATTGAGGTTATGTCCAACTTTGACATAAAATGTCAAATGTTGAAAACTTGTTATTTAATATATTTTAATTTTATAGATACGCATTAAATCATCCAAAAGTAAGTTACTGCCAAGGAATGAGTGATTTAGCTTCTCCATTATTAGTCACAATGGGTGATGAAGCTCATGCTTACATTTGCTTTTGTGCACTTATGTCAAGATTAAGCACCAATTTTATGATAGATGGTATTGCAATGACACAAAAATTCACTCATTTAGCTGAGGGGCTTTTATACTACGACTCTGAGTTCTATAATTATTTAAAAATTCATCAAGCTGATGATTTACTATTTTGCTATCGTTGGTTATTACTTGAAATGAAGCGCGAATTTGCTTTTGATGATTCGTTGAGGATGTTGGAGGTGTTGTGGAGTTCTCTTCCGCCAGATCCCCCAGAAAAAGAATTAAAATTGTTCGATTCTAAATTTCATTTACCCTCGGTCACTCCGCCTATTAGTCCAATGGTAAAAACACCAAGAGAAAATGCGTACACAAAAGTTTGCGCTTTAAGGCGACAAAGTTCATCAATCTCTTTAGCTAGTTATTCAAGTAAAAAAAGCACTGCCGTAAAACGGCAAAATCATAGTTTGGATGAAACTATTGGGAGGATTAAAAATATTTATGACACTAAACCAAAGCATCAAAGCTTAGATGATGCTAGTTTATTAAAACGTTCGCCACCAAAATCACTTAAAAACATTGATAGTTGCGATAATAATAGTTTATCAGGAAAATTGGAATTAAGACCTCGGTCTGTTTCTCCTCTGGAGCAAAAATCAGATTCAATAATTTTAAATAATAACAAATTAAACTCGCAAATAATGTTGGAAAAAACGAGAAGTAATAGCTTATCATCAAGCATGACTAATTTAATAAAAACAACAAAAAGAAATGGACATTTTAAAGAATTAAAAGAAAAAATCACTAATAACAAAATAAATATTTTTTCTTCATTAGATGGTTTAGATACTGTTAAAGATGATAAAGGTGATAATAAACCAAAAGGAAAAATGGTTAAAAACTTTAACGAATTTTTAAATTTCGCAGCAGTTAATAAAAACAAAATATCAGATAAATTAACAAAAATAAACACATATTCCGAATTAGATAAACCAAAAATTATGTTAACAAAATCAAGTTTTGAAGAATCCGAATCTTCAAGTTACGAAAAAACCTCAACAAATTTCGAAAAACCCTCATCAACATCAAACGACGACACATTCGATGAATGCAGCCCCGATGATTCACAAGAATATTTTCCAATGACAACTTCAGTTACGAGAGAATTACGGATTGAATTAGAAAATTTAGATCGTCAGGTATTCGGAAACGGTTATAACGAGCGTTTGTTAGAATCTGAATCCCCATCGAGCGATTGTAACGAAACGAAATCGATTGAAATTAACATTAAAAAAAGTTCCGACCAAATTGATTCAAATCCAAATATTTTAAAAGATAATACTAAAAAAAGTCGGGATGATATTTTTATATGGCAAAATCCACTTCATGAGTCAAGTCCGAATACGGTGAAACAAATTAATCCTTCTATTCATACTCCAGATGAACAATCTGAATTAGAATTTGATTCGGAGTTGGGACAAATGGTTGATGAAGTTTCATCGAATAAAACGATAACACCAATTAAAATATTAAATCATTCAATTAATATTAATAAAAAAATTCATAATGAGAAGAATAAAAAAATTGAAACTGAAATGAAATCATCAGAAAACACCAATTTAAATGAAGATTTAAGTGATTTCTTAAAAACTGATCTTCCAAATCTAACAAGTTCTTGCGAAGAAGTTACTGAAGTACCAAGAAGTACGTTTTTACCACCACCCACTGAATTTGGTGGTGGTAATCCGTTTTTAATGTTTTTATGTATTACTGTTTTATTGCAACATCGTGATCATATAATTGGAAAAGCCATGGATTACAATGAAATGGCTATGCATTTTGATAAAATGGTTCGTAAACATAACGTTGTAAAAGTTTTAAATCAAGCTAGACAAATGTATGCTAAATATATGATGGCTCAACAAAAAGTTACTATTCGAAATGAAGATTGCTAATTTTTAATGTTTCTTTTTTGCTTTATTTTCTGTGATACTTCCATTATTTTTTATGATTTTGTGGAAAATTGGGGCTACATTTTTTTTTCTTGGTAGATATAATTACGTAGGGCCTAAGTACGTAAATTATACTTACATTATTGTAATACATGTAAATATAAATGAGGAAAAAAATGAGTTGGGTTGGTTCTATATTAAATAATTAATTAGGCTAAAAAATCTTTTAAAATAATTGTTTTTGCTTATTTTAAACGATTTTTATATAACTGTATTTATTTATTTTTAGATTAGGTTAATTTTTGTTGTTGTTGTACATGATGAGTCATGAAGAAATAGGAAATTTTTAATTGTACTGAATTATTTTAGTGGTTTGAGACTACAATTGATTTATTGTTAGGGGCGAAACCTGATTTTAGGATAAATTAGGTAATGATAAAACAATATGTTCATGCTGGGGTGAAATATACAATTTATTTAAATCGTCACAACCGTTAACTCCAAGATTTTGCAACTCGCTAAGAATAAATTAAAATCTTCAACCCTACTCAATAAATTGAAGCGATATATTAACGTTATATAGCATGGTATTTACATACATGATGGATCCATTATGGGAAGGTATGTAACTCTGTAGATGTTTGTATTTGTCTTACAAACTTGTAATTAAAAAGTTGCTAGCACATGAAACGGCTACAAAAATAGTCTAAGAAGATCGTCCAAAGCTCTGAAATGATAGCAACATCCCAAGTTGATTTTTCGAGAACGCAAGTAGATTGATAGATCTTCAGTGAGGAAATAATTTCGTAGAGTATTATTTATGGGTACCTCCATACGCTTCGTTTTTCATCACTCAACATTAAGGCTGCAGTGGAAGGCGTTTGTGAGTCACTTTCCTGAACTGTCCAGGCCCTGATTATTATACATGATTTACTACCTATTCAACAACTTCCAAGAGAAACTCCAGAATGTTCCACAATGTTGTTTTTGCGTTAAGTAACTTCAAACACCCTCGAGCAGTGAATATCCAAACATGGTGGTGCTTATGTTTTAGTCACCAGAAAACCAAGTCAGCGGCGGCCAGTACTTAAATTTTATCTTTCTCCTAAATGATCCCTAGTTCAAGTATTTTCATCTATATTAGATGATATTGCTCATTTTATGCCTGGAAAAGAAAATCAAGTGCATAACACTCTAATTTATTCTCACTTCACCGAGATCGCTTGCGGACGAGGCGCTAGAGCCGATGGTTTAGTTTATATGAGCTTTATATCAATATAATTGCATATCCAGGCAATCAATCCGCAAAACCATCGTTGCTTTTGACTGACAAGAATTAGATAAGGAAAACCATTTGATAAAAAGTTGTAAAGCGTGGGCCACTAGGCTGCTTGCCAGTCGCGAGTTGCTGTCAGCCATCAATCAGCTTGGTGTGAGCATAAAGTTCGACACTCTCGCCGCCACCCGTCTATTTGTCAGCGGCTAGTGAAATTGGACATGTTCTATTTTGGTAGCCAGGTAGCGGAGGCTAGCAGGTCACGTGACTCACTCACACCCACTGCCATCAGCGGCAAGTAAACCAGCATGTGCCACGTGGTCCTTTGTTTATGTTTGGTTGTTTACTGCTTAATTAATTGTTTACGTGGACCCACAGACGAGGTGGACCCGCTTCAACTTGAAGACACAAGCTAGTGTGACTTGTGACACTTCCCGACTAGAATTGCGTTCATCAAAATTTTTAATTTGACCTGAAATTTTCAATGTTAGCATTGAAGCATTAGACTTTTATCATGCGTTTTTATACGCCTCCATTTCCGGCCTCTCTTGAGGACCACACTTCTTCTATTTTCATCTTACTCTTACTGTGTGGACCTTTTTTGGAGTTTTCTTTCAACCTCTTCAACAACTTGGATTTTCTTTCTTCTAGCATATAGCACAATGCCCTTTTCTCTATAGCTTCCAACATCTCTGCGTTCCGGATGTAATATCAAGTATTCATTGCTGAACGCAGAATTCTATTTCCAATTTCTTCACATTTTTGTGATTCTTCAAAATTTCCACTCCATATGTGAACTGCGACGATATTATAGCTTCTGTTATTTTAACCTCTGTTGTTGTTGGAGTGACTGTGCTCTTATCACGAAGCATAGCTTATTTGTCGTTCTTCTCGCAATGCCTAGCCTCTTAGCTGCTTGCTTTTCGGCGTTAAGATCCCTAGGTATGTGATTTCTTTCTTCATCTCTATCTTCTTTGGGATGTCTAGAGAGCTTTTCTTGCTAAAGCCTAGTATTCTCCGTATTCAATCCAATCCTCCATTGATTGCAGTACCATAATTTGAACATCTAAAGAATGTCCCAAAAAAATCAAATAGTTTCGTACAAGAAACAATTTAAACATGAAATCGTCAAAATCTATTAAGCAGGGTTGAGTTATAATTTGAAATATTATTAACACAATTATTGAAGGATTTGTGACTCATCTTGTAGAACAACAAATCAAAAATGCTACTAGGGGTGGATGATAACAGATTTAAATCTATGTTTCACCCTCTATTTTCTTACTTATACATTTTGCCTTCCATAACTATCTTCCTTTAAATGAATAAATTAAAATTAATTTTTAATTAAAATATTGGTTGTGGAAATTGTGAGAGAAAAGTTTGAAATGCAATTATATCAAAAAAAATCATTCCATGTACTTAAAATTTAAATTATTTCATCACTAAATTATTTTAGGTAATTACAAGTTAATAAAATAAGATGTTTAAAACGGAAATTGATAAAACAGCAATATTAGTGATAACTAAATTAAATATTTAAGTTATTATGTATAAAATAAAAATTGTTTATTATATAAACAATCATTCTTATTACTTACTTATTAATTGGTTTTATCACATTATTCAATGTCTTCTTAGTTAACAAATAAAATAAAAAAAAAATATTTAAATACGTATACTTAGAATTTATTAATTCTTCAGCCTTTAAATAAAACTATTCCTAATACATTTAAATTAATAATAATAACATAAATCTCAAAAAAGCCTCTGTAGAAATATATTTTTATAATAACAATAATTATTGTAAAGTTTCTAATATTGATTAGTGAACACAATTCGTTATTTTTTTTAAAATCCGTTATAATTTTTTTTGTTCTAATACACAAAAATTATACTTAATTTAATTTTTTTAAAACTTACGTTAATAAATTATTTTCTATACCAGCGGGCCATTCAATTTTATCACTATCTTTTGTATTATGGTTGGAAAGAAAATTCTTCACAATCAACTGAAGAGTACATCTCGCAATTTTTTCTTCCGTTAATTGAGACGTTAACGTGGATAAATTATTTTCTAAATTCTTCACTTGACCCTGCAAAATCTGCACGACCTCGAACAAATTTCTTTCGACTTCGCTACTTCTTTGCATCTGATTATATTTAACTGTAAAACAATCGTTGTAATAATATAAAAAAAACTGTTGGTAATTATTTAAAGTGAGATCTACCACACAATATAAATTGAAAAAAGAAAAACCAAAAGCCACAATCATCACAGTTTACAATTATCTTGTTTACTAATATCAAATACTGATCATAAATGGTATAAATTTAATATTGAAGGCACATTTTAATTTTTTTTATAAAAAACACACAATAAAGAACACTTTTTTATATCTACTGATTTGAGGAGATTTTATTCTAAATGTTGCGTTTTGCGCAATTGTTTAATAACAATATTGCCACAACACCACGTGGATGCACGAGGCGCGTGCGGTCTATAACTCCTCGGATGGAGCAAAGGGGCGAACGCGGGCGTTGAACTCTCCAAATCAACAACGCTATTACACGAGTGCAACTGATTACGTGCAATTTTATCATGCATCTGTACGTTACCACCTGTCAACAGCTCCACTGCGTGATTTAATCACCATCCAAAAGATTAACAAAAAAGAATAAACAATAAATTCATTTTCTCTTTGTTTTTAAAATTTAAGTTATAAACCATAAAAATATTTCATCCTTACCTGAATTAACAGTATTTCTTTGTTTTCCTGTACAACAATAAGCTTCGATTACATCGAGAATAAGAGCATCCTCTTTGTAATTGGTGGTTTTACGATTTGCGCGATGATGGGGATCGTATGGAGCCGATCCAAATGCTAAACAAGGACTTAAAGGGGGCGCCGGTCGTAAACAACTCGCAGACCAATCTTTATTGTTGTTATTATTATTGATAAACGAACCGTGAGAAGGGGGTGTCGATATTAACCGGGACTCGTTATTGTTCGGGGGGCCTCCGTGGCGATTGTTCGTGCCTCTTGTCGATACCAGGGGTGATGGCTAAAATTAAAATTACAAAATTAAATTAAAAAAAAAATTGATTGTTGAGATTATTCGAAAATTGTTTTATGGGTTTCTTTTATTATTTAAAATAAAATTTGAAGTACAGTAAAACCTCAACATAACGAATGAATGAATAATTTTAATGCACGCAAATTCGGACCAAGGACAGTAAAATCTTACTAAGAGGACTGGTACATCCCAGGAACAGATGCACAGCTTGAAGGCCCGTTCGTGACGTCACGCATAGCAACTACTATTTCATACTTTGAATTAGCAAATGCTTAATTTATTCTATTCGTGTTTTGTAATGTTTTTAATTTGGAACTTAAGGTTCATAATATAAAATAAAGATCTCGATCGAGTTTAGCCGTGCGTCTCTTAAGACGGCTAATCCCAAAACTTTCTAGTTCTAGGTCTAGTGTTAGTTCTAGTTTTACACTAGCACTGTTGCTAGATCTAACACTATACCTAGAACTAGAATCATTCTGGTTTAGCCGTCTTGAGAGACGTGCGGCTTTTTTTAGAGTTTTGCATTTTTAGAACTAGAACTAGAATCATTCGGGTTTAACCACACGTCTCTCAAGACGGCTAAACTCGAGTGATTCTAATTCTAGATCTAGTGTTAGTTCAATAAAAATATACAATAATCTAGCACTGAATAACAATTAAAACTAGAACTACCGTCCTTGATTTATACGTCATATAGACAACTCGGGGAATACCCTGAGTTTATTTATAAACATGGAATAGAATTTGAGAAATAACCCGAATTGGATTCTATTTATGAGGGCTAACTTTTATAATATATTCATATTTTGTCCTTTATATCAAGGTTCGTTATATGGAGGTACTGTAAATGAAATGTGCGCGTTAAAAGGTTAACATAAAATGATAAATGAAATTAGGGGTGAAAGTAAAAAATAAACAGGCAAGGGTTGCACTCTAAACTAGTTAAAATTAAATTTTTGTAGGTTAATTTTTAATCTCCAAGCACATCAAAGCCAAAAAAAACATGAAATCCACACGTTGCGCACCCTTGCCTGTTGCTGATTCTTCATAAATTCCTTTAACAACTTCAATCGGAATCTTAGCTTTCATCCACCAATGAGCGTACAACCCCGATTTATATAATTTTTGTTTTCCAGCTTCTTCCTCATTTTCTTTTACACTTAACCCCACGTTTTGTACTTCAAACATATTAGTTAAAGATTTCGATTTTTTCGGTTTATAAAGATCTTTGTTGTCCTCGTTATTCCATTGAGGCGTCGTTAAATTTCTTAATTCAACGCTAGTTGAAGTAACGGAAGTCCTTGCAGAATCATGTTGCGAATCTGAGTAAGTATTTCCAGAGATTGAAGGTTGACAAGAAGTTCTTGGCGTTGACCCAAAAGGAGATGTGCATTGACATTCAGATTCGTAAGTTCTCGCTTCAATTTCGCTTAATGATAACATATTTCTTGGATTTGAAAATCGATTATACTTTTCGAACAAAACTGACATATCCATGCTGTTTGTGTCTTCGATTTCGTGATGTGGGGCTATATCCGGTGAATTTAAGGTGCAACTTCCTGCCATACCCGAATCGGAAGATCTCGGACTTTGACAACAACAGCAAGTTTGACTTTGTCTGGTATCTTCGCGCGAGGACATCTCTAAATATTTATAGGAAACACATCGTCTTAATAAATTATTACTATCTTTTCCGCTTAAATGAATGGTTGATCTTCGTTTTGGTTTTGGTTTGTCGGAATTAATACTGTGAGTACGAAAATTAGCATTCGTTTTTTGAATTGATAGTCTTTCATCGTTTTGAAACATAACCGGTGGTTTTATAACCGTCGATTCGGTACGATCGCTTTCAATTTCCGATTCCGTTTTATCACTATACAATAATTCCGCTAACATAGCATCCGGTAGTGGTGCGACATTAACGGGGATATCAATACTGCTTGAATGAGTCGTTGTGGTACTTTCGCTTTCACAGGACGATTTTTTTTTATTTTCGTTATTATAATTTATGTTACTAATATTATTTTCACTATTCGATTGATATGTTGGAATATAAATTGTTGTTAAACTCGATGAACTAAATTTGTTTCCAACCATTTTCGTTGGACAACTTTGTCGTGTCGTTGGAAAATACGGCTTTTGTAAATTGTGATCAATTTCAAAGCTACTATCCATATTAACTAAATCTTCGCATCCCGTAAATGGTTTTTGTAATAAACAAGAACTTGCATCTGAAGTTTCCGATGTTTGTTTTATTAATTGGACGTTTGCTGTTGATGTTAACACAATGCTTGGTTTTGATTTTAATTTTATTTCTTTTTTTGGGGGTGAAATATTTTCATAATCGATTACGCTTTCATACCGAACTTGCTCCGAACATGTTTGTGGGTTATAATAACGTATATAACCGAAAGGATTACTTTCATTTGAGTCATCATCATCGTCCGACGAAGAAGATGTTTCATCGATTGCATTTTGGCGGGAAATTTTTTTATTTTCTGAATAATTCGAACAATTTTTTGATGAATTATCCGAATCTATGTCTGTGCTACATTTTATAATATTATCACGTTTTCTTGAATGAGGTTTTATAACGAACTCAGTTCGATGTTGTCTTCTTTTAACGCCATCCAAATTAACGTTGTTATATTCCGAATAAAGCAAAAATTTAACTACGTTTTTATTTATAATTTTTGATTTGATTAATTTATGATAAAATTCTGTTAAACCGGCGTATGGTGCTGCGCTTGGATAATTCCGAGGGGGATAAGTAGGTTTAAAATTGATTTGTGGTGAGTATATAAGAATTGAAGTTCTTGTGCTGTAACCCCTTTGATTTAACTATTTCAATTAAATTTGATTTAATATTAAAAAATAAAATTAAATTATTTTTGAAATCTTACGTGAGGTTGTTGCACAACTTCCACGTGGGTTGATAGCGGTTTTTGATGAATACTGTTCGATCTGTTGGGCATATGTTTCCTTAATAATTCTACCCAATGATTTGCTTCATCGCGACTTTGACAAACTGCAATTCTTTTTTCAATCATTGGTCCGTTTATTTCAAAAGCATTTTTAAATTGATCGTTATCTTCTAATCTTGTTACAACAATTCCAGTTAATGGTAGTTTTCCCTATTAAAAAAAAAGACAACAGATACAAATACAATTTAGTGATGAGCGATATATCGATACCGGTTAGATGGTGATTTTAAAATCACTGTCACCACCAGTTCTTTTCTTAGCAGTTACCAGGATTCAGAGAATTTGTAAAATCACTAAATAAATCATATGAGCTAATTCCAAATTTATTCGAAAAATGCTATTTAAAATGCCAAGAAATGGTAACAAGCTGTAGATACTTATGACTGTTGGACCTCCATAAACACCAAAAGTTATATATCTTTTACAGCGCATATGATAAATTAAAACTTTGAATTAAAAACGATTTTACTAGATTGTAAAATAATGGAAAGAAACCATACAAGTAAAAACTTAACCATTGAAATTAGAAACATAATTTCAGATTGGAATATAGGAGATCTTCTATCGAATATTAAAAATGCTATTACAGCTGAACTAAAACTGAACCATTTTGGATATTTTGCTCACTCAATAAATTTAGTATTGCAAAATTGTTTGGAAACATCTCATATTTCCCTGTTGATAGCAAAAATAAACCCCACTTTAAAAGGAGCACTATTGCAAATGAAACATTTTCAAGAAAATTCCGGAAAAACGCCATTAAAATAGTTGCAAGATGTTTCCACCCGCCGGAATTCGACTTATTATATGTTGAGCTGATATGTCGAATTAGAAAATGCCATTAAAAGTACCATAGCAATATTGGATGCAGATATTTCTGTGTTAAGTTCAGATGAATGGAAAATGTGCCATAAATTATGCAAGATTCTAAAACCATTTGAAAAAATTGCTAAAATTATAAAAAAAAAACTATGCCACAGGTTCTTTCGTAATCATAAAAATCTCAGCTGATTAGTCGATTTGATAGTATAGAAATGTGCAATGTATTAACTGTTTCGACATTTCTAGATCCATGATTCAACTTGATTGGATTTGTTAACCAACAATGCGCAGAAAATGCCAAAAAAGCACTAATTGCCGCTTTAAAAACAAAAATACTGCAGAGTCAACAAGAAACGGAAAATTTGAGCCGTTTGCCGTTAAAAAATCATGGTTTTTCTATTTTGAAAGAAATTTCTACATGTTTGAGTAAAGGATCCACAGAAATAACGTTAGTGAAGCACTAAAGCATTTAAATTTGCACCTATAACTTCAGTATAAGAATTTGTTTTTTGTATTTTCTTCAATATTTTCTAAATCTCAATAGATATCATTTTTCATTTACTTTGTTTAACCTCACCTACAAATTTAAAAGATATCCATATTTTAATATTTAATTCCAATTTTTTATAGAGCATATTTTCATACTTAAACAGCATATTTTGATTTTTATAGAACATTTTTTAAGCGCTTAAACTACCATTTTTGGAGCATATTTTTGGTTGCCCTACTCATCTTTAAATTAAATGATTTCTTAAAACGAAATCAATTCTTACCTCATAAATAAAAGCACTCAATCGTTTACTGACAGATAACATTAATAGTGTACTAGGAAATAATACTAAATATCTATCATGATGTTGTGGACCAATCGCCACAGAACCCATATAAATGATATCACCAAGTGTTGAAAGACTCTGCCCTTCCCAACCTCGAACAGGACCTGTTACAATTTGAAGCTCTAATTCTTTTTGTCGCCGTGTAGCTTCACAAGTTGCCTTAAAACAAATAAAATAAATATTTTTTTTTGTTTATAATAATCATCCTTACAGCAATTTCTTTATAAACAACAACAGATCGTTGAGTATCACCTCTATCAGGGTGACTTTCTTCGACATGTCTTTCTAATTCTTGTAACATACCAGAGTATTTATCCAGTCTTCTAAATGGTTTACTTAAACCTGTTGTTAATACTAAAATACCTGGTGCTGCTGCATTACATGATTCCATAAATTTTGTTAATTCATCTCTAAAAATAATTATTAAAGTATAAAATTATGTTAAAATATAAATTAAAAGAATTACTTATATTTATCCAATATACAAACTGCTCGAGGATGTAATGAACAATATGTTTGATGTACAGATTTAATTTTAGGCGCTCTTGTAAGAAAAATATGACCAACTCTAGCTTCATGGTTGAGTTTAAGTTCTTCCTCAAGTGTATTAAGCAACTGTTGATGAGTATCAACAATTTCATATAAGTTACTAATTAATTGTTGAAATTCATCTGGTGATAAACTACAATATTTAAATTAATAAAATATAAATAATAACAAAAAGATAAAACACACATTCCACTTTTTTCTAAAGGATTCAAAAAGTTATTAACTAATCCCTGAAGTTCTGTAACATGAGCTTTTTCTGAATCAACAACATCTTTAAGAACAACCTCTCGATATTGTTTTTGTTGAGTTATGGTTGTTAAAGGAGGTGGACCGGAAACATCTCGACATTCTTTAACATAATTACTTGGAAACCATCCTGTTTTACCACCTAAAGTTCCTTCCCACCAACCTCCATCTTCTTTCTGTGTAATTGTAATTTTATCTCCCTTTTTAAAGCATAACTAAAAACAAAATCACACAAAATAATAAAAACCAAATATGTTTAGATGACTCACCTCATCGTTATTTGTCCCCTTAAATGAATAAATGGCCTGGACAACTAAAGGTTCTCCACTCATCTTGATTGACACTGGAACGGATGATTTGTATGTGAGAAAAACATTTAAATAATTGTCGTTACACTAAAGCTATTAAAAGGTTAGCCATGACAAGAAATTTTGGCCATGATCCGTCCCTAAAGTAATTTTTGCCTACCATCACATTCTTGGCAAAGGCATCTCCGTATTTGTTTGGATATTTGCCAAATAATTCATAATTTTTTGGAGGATTTCTCTTCTTTCGATACACGAATATAGACAAAAAAATGTTAAAAGAACGAAAAGACTACAACAATGTATATTTCAAGTTATAAATAGATGTTCCTGAAGAACCCAAAATGTATACAATGAGTTGATATAAATAGATTTTTTTATAAATTATTAATACTGATTTTTTTGGGTAAAGTATTAAAAAATCCTTGAAATGTGTTAGAATATTAAACAGATAATGAGCACCGCCCAAATGTTGATATAAAAAAAAATAATAGGATGAAAAGATAAATTTACAATCAAGTAATGTTCCTATAAATAAGTTCACATTTTGGGTTAACGACGTAATTTACATGGTTATATTGTCTTTAATACTTACATAAATAAGTTCATTGATACCTTTTTACAACAAAACCCATAAAGTTTCTCGTAAAAATGAAAATAAACTAAAATTTATTACGAGAATAGATTACAAAAACATCAATTAACCCAATAAACGTGATATTAGCTCTATTTACCATAATCAAATATGTACCTAAAAACTACAAATAATGCTCAAATTACTTAATTGAATCACTTAACTGAAAATTTAACCAAAAATTAAACCGAATATTATTATAAAATATAAAAATTAATGTTGTTTAAAACATTAAAATCATTAAATTTCCTACTTCACTTCAAACATGACAGATAATGTAACCTAATAAACATGAAGTTGCCTTTAATTTTCAACAACATTAATTAATTGAAATTAATTTAAATAAATAAATATGTTGATATACTTAATAACAAATTAAAATAAATTTTGAAATCGAATTTATTTCAAATCTATTAAATAAATAAGATGACATTTCCTACTTCACATCATTCACATCAAAACTGTCAGACGAAGTATTTGAAATGCAACGTTACCACATATATTTAGTAATTTATTGAACATTCCACCGATATTGTCAACAAAAACTTACAATTTCATCGTTATTAATTTACGTAATTATGTTAGAAGGTATTTACGACGTAGACGAGATTAAAATCCTCGATGGGGGTTTTGGAACCCAAATTGCAAAACACATCGATAAATCTCTTGATGATGATGCCTTGTGGAGTGCCCGCTTATTGACTACAAATAAAGAAGCGGTTATTGAAACACACCTTGATTTCTTACGTGGTAAATTCTAATACTTAATGTTCTTATATTATGATGTATTTATTTCTTTTTTAGCTGGATCAAATATAATTGGAACTAATACTTATCAAGCTAGTGTTGAAGGATTTAAGAACCATTTGAAATTATCTAAAGAAGAAAGTCTTAATTTAATAAGAGAGGCTGTTGGACTTGCCAAGACTGCTAGGGATAATTATATTTTAGAAAACCCTTATTGTAAATTACCTTTAATAGCTGGGTCTGTTGGACCTTATGGAGCTTCGCTACATGATGGATCTGAATATACAGGAACTTATCGTGATACAATAAGTAAAGAGATCTTAAAAGAGTACCATAATGGTAGAATAGAAGCTTTAATTGATGGTGGTGTAGATTTATTAGCTTTTGAAACTATACCTTGTAAAATTGAAGCTGAAGTGCTTTTAGAGCTTTTAAAAGAATATCCAGATATAAAAGCTTGGTTATCTTTTAATTGCAAGGTTTTTTTATTACTAATTGATCCCAAAAAATCAAAACTTCTCAATTTTATTAATTTTTAGAATGGAACTTGTTTAGCTTCAGGTGAAAATTTTAAAGAAACCGTATTATACTGCTATAATTTAAATCCCGATCAATTAGTAGCTATAGGAACTAATTGCGTTTCTCCTGTATTTGTTGAAGAACTTTTAAGTGAGGTTCACAGTGATAAAAGTATCGCAATTCCCTTAATCGTTTATGCAAATAGTGGTGAAGATTATTCCAAAGAGAAAGGGTTTGTTGGAACTAAATTAAAATCAATTTTATTATTATTATTTCATTTAGGTGGTTTGGGCGTGAAAATTGTTTAAAACCAGCTGATTATGTCTCGAAATGGTTAGATTTGGGTGTGAAGTGGATTGGTGGTTGTTGTAGGGTGTATGATTCTGATATTTCTGCTATTCGAGTTGAAGTTGAGAAATATTCCAAAAAGAAATGAATTTTTTTATTGCTCTATATATTAATAGTATATTTTTATTCTACAATAAAGTTTATTTTGTTTTTTTAATATTACATTAAAGTTTGACGTTTTTCTTTTACAAACAATCATTGCTTATTTTAAAAGCATCCTATAATAATCGAACAGGAGCTTTAATAGGCAGCTGATTAGCTTTCAAACAAAATTACCTTGAAAAATTAGATCACATATACTTTTAAAGATTTTATTAACCCTATGGAAAAAGCTTTTTTTAGTTTACTTTATACCAGTTTATTTTTCATTTTTTTAATGCTATAATAATGGAATATTATATAATGCTATAATAAAAGCTTTAATAGACAGTGAAGTATATTAGCTTTTAAAAAATTACCATGTATAATTGCATCAGAAATGCTTTTGAAATGATGTCACCCTATGTAAAAGATAGTTTACAATTTTTACAATTTCTTATCAATTAAACCAAAATAAGCAAAAAGTTTAGTTAGTTTGATTTGTTCAAAAATGAGGTTTTTAAACTTTAAGCTTTTAGAGTTAACTTCACACTTATCTTTTTTTTTACATTAGAAAATTAATTCGATATTGGAGCTAAAAAATATTCTAAAACAATAAGGTTCTATTATTCCTTTCTTTTTTATTGCTACAATTTCTTCTATATATTTTAATTTATAAATATAATTTTAATTTAAATAATTTTTTGACGTTGGTATTACAGTTATCTTCACAGCTGTTATTATCACTTCTGTCAATAAAAGCCGTCTTCTAATCATTTAGATTATTACAAATATTTACTATGTCCGCTGCTGTGGAGCGAATTCATACGTTAGATGCTATAGAAAAAGATATAATAACTTGTTTACATAGCGCCGGTAAGACTAAATGGCATAAAAAACTTTAAATAAGAAAACTAACCTCACTTTTTAAGGACAAGTTTTTCTGGAGTTAAGCAAAGATAAATCGAGTTTGAAACAAGCAGAAAACCACACGCATACATTTTTAAAGACATTGGGGAACGTTGAAAATAAATTAACCGAGCAAATTAACTATTTGACACAAGTTTCAACTGGTCAACCTCATGAAGGATCTGGTTACTCTTCACAAAAAGTGTTACAAATGGCTTGGCATAGATTGGAACATGCAAGATCGAGAGTAAATGAGTTGGATCGTATAAAACTTAAACATATGCAAGGGAGACCGACTTCGCGACAAGCGCAAAGTGGTTCTAATGGAAATGGAGGTGTTGTTACTGTTCCTGCTTCAGCTTCCTCAACTTAAATAAATAAAGTTTTTTAAGATAATTTAGAGTTTTATTTTAGATTTAATTTGAGTTTATAATAAAAGCTATAGAGATCGTTAATTTGAGCAAGTTAATTCTTTGTTGAACCCAATTTGAATTTGTTCATTAAGATTTGCATTAGTAAGCACCAGTCTTTTTTGCTGCCATCTTTTTGCTTGATTCCTTATCATCATGATATCAGTTGCATAGGTCCTGCAACATCCTCCAACCCATCTTATTCCAATATCCAACCAAAGAGGAATATATTGCTCTACCGGTTCGCATTTATCTCTGTTAATCCATCTATACAAATAAAATAAATATAAGAACTCTTATCTAAGAAACCTAAATGAAAAATAATTACCCTTGGTTCACGTTGTAACTCTCGCCGCTATTCGGATACACGATGAGAGGTAAAGGTTTATGTCTTCGTCCTTTATTTATATCTTTGAATAATGATTCAACAAGTCTCGGCGCTAGACAGTTTGCTCCAACCGCCACCAGTTGTCTTGGATTTAAATCGTAACACTTTCGGGCGGTTTCTTGGAAGTTTTCACCATTAGCTATTGATTTTCCGTCTTGCTAAAATGAATGTAACATTTTTTTAAACGGATTTTTTGTGTGTAAAACTAAACAAAATATTGTGTAGCACAGATCTTTATGAAGTGTGCATGCATCGAATACACGATAACCTGTCACCCCATTTACTTCGAAACCTATCATAGTCTATTTGCTGTTTTACCGTATACCTCTTATCCCTATTCTCTCTCGCTACCCTATTTTACGTCCCAGTATACCCATCTTTCCAAACCCTTACTTTGTGTAACACACTCACCGCGCAACTGAATGCGAGCCAAGCCTTGACATTCGGAAATTCCTTTATCAGATCCAACAGCATCTCCGCTTCAATCCTGCAAGGAATAGTCTCCAACGCTAATAAATCCACACCGGCCTCGATTAGAGCTTCTATTCGAGGTCTGTGCCAATCTCTCATGGTTTCTACCGACGTTGTTTTAGCGTAAGATCCCGTATATTCGGACGCGTCGTGTAAAGACGCACCATAAGGTCCCACCGAACCGACTATTAAAGGCTGCGCTAAAATAAAGAGGAAAAATAAATGAAATTCATTTCGAAAGTTCGTTTAAATCAGTTTAAAACTAATTTAATCTTAGTTAATAAAGTTATTAACACTTTATAATCCTTCGTAAATTGAAATCGTAATACTTACGACATTCGGGATATTCCAATTGAAATTTCCTCACGGCAGTTTTGGCTAATTCAACGGATTTCTTGATTAACTCGTAAGCTTCCGGTTCGGTCATTTTCATATGTTGCACAAATCCCCCGACGCTCGCCTGGTACGTGTTGGTCATTATCAGGTTCGATCCGGCTGAAACACAATCGCCCCAGAAAGCAATATTAACACCTATGTATGAATTAATAATAAACAATACTGTGACAATTATTTAATTATTAATAGATTAGTTTTGTTTCGTTCTTTTTTGCAATGTTATTTGTAAATTTAGGTTAAATGTGGCCACGCAGTCGATATATCAGTTTTACTATGATTAGATTAAGGATCTTCCGAATAAAAAATTAGATCTGTTTCTGGTCTACGTCTTGGTTTACTCCATCTATAGTTGTGAGGTTCCAAAGCTGCATCATTTAATCTCGTGACAAAAGTTTGGCTTGTTGTGCTAGCTCAGAGGATACCAATGTGTCTTGCTTTTGTTTAGATTCTGAAAATCTCTGGTTGAGTATTCGTTGTAGTAGTATGTGCATATTGGTGTGCTGTGTGTACTTGCTCCCTAGGTGTTCTAGATCTATATTATAAATTTGCGACTTTAACTTTTTCAGCATTTCTTGAACTGCTAACTATCGCGTTACTTAATTAAGTCTTACTATTTTTGTACTAGTCGTGTTATTTGATACATTCCTGTAACGATCCTTGGTTGATCTTGATGGACATTACTCACTCAAGAGTTTTCCTTTAGTCTCAATAAACCTCTTTGATTACGTGGGCATCTATGGATGAATTAAGCGGGCTACATGCTGATTACCATAAATATTATTAATGTATGGATCGGCTGGATTGATACTGCTTGTAACACCAGATGCCAACAAAAACGATTGAATTGTATAATATTATTAATCAAAAATAAGACATACCTCTCAAAAAATCCAAATGTGCTTCAATAACAGCTTCTGGATCGGTAGCTAAGAACCTAGCACTCCACAAAACATCACCATCGATTGGTTTATCAACATGACAACTTAATTGCGATGCAAATCCACCATCAAGAATAATGATGTCTTCTCGTTTTAGTTCGCTTGGTGGTTCTTCAATTTTCTTATGCGCGGAACTACCAACTCCCGGAGGCATCTTGTGTCCTGTAAGGAACATGTCGCCGAATGAATTTAATTTGGAAGAGATTTCTTTAAATATGTTTTAAAACATGATATTATACGCAGACTGTGTCGAGACAAATAACTAAAAATGTGAGATAACGTTGTATTTTTTATTTATTTTATTTTTTGTGTTTTTCGGTTATCTTTTAAATGTCAGTGAGTTATTGAACTTGGTAACGATAAACTTTGCTTTTTGTGGTAAACAAGAGGAAATATGTTATTATAATAAGATTTGCATTTCTGGAATATACATTTTTCTTTGTCTAATTGAGTATATTTCCTTAACATTAATTGGAGTCGTTATCATGGAGTTCTTTTTATATAAATAAATTTAGACGATACAACTGAGCCGTAATTATCTTGTTTTGTAATTTGTTTATTTGAAAAATACAAGGTTAAATGACCTCATTTTCAAATTATTCAAAACACTGCGTTTCGAATAATAGCTTCAACTTCATCACAATAATATTTATGGAAACTAAAATTTATTTAATTGTACAAACAGTATTGAATAAATAAAAATCAATATTAGAATAGCATATAGACACTTTATTTGTATTAAAAGAGAATTAAAAAATGCTGTTGTAATAAAAAAGATATTGATTCGAATGAATTTATTTAAACGAGTTAATTCGCTTACAATAAATAAATGCATTTCGTGTAACTAACAGGTTTTATAAATTATTGATACGAGTTTAATTAAAATTGTAGAATATTTATTTGGTTAATTAATTGCAATTTTATGGGTAACTAAGGACACACGTGTTTTCGACGCAACGGAACTGATTTCATAAAAAATAATCCTCTCATATTATTGGGAAATTTTCACACCTGTTAATCTAATTTAAATATAAAATTAAATAATAAATTTATTAAACAGATTTCTACCAATATGTATATATTAAATATAAATCCTTTAAAATTTCAAACGACTCGTAATAAACCCGAATGATTCTAGTTCTAAGTGTTAGTTCTAGCGATAGTGCTAGTGCAATACTAGAACTAACACAAGACCTAGAGCTAGAATCATTCGGGTTTAGCCGCACGTCTCTCAAGACGGCTAAACCCGAATGATTCTAGTTTTAGGTCTTGTGTTAGTTCTAATTTTAGTTCAGTAAAAATATGCAACTTAGGTCCACTTTTACCATCCTCCAGATAAACTAACTAAGGGAGATAATTACCATGGTTACGGTGGTTTTAAGCTCTCTCATTTGATAAGAACGCGAATTTATCTATCGGATAAATTTATCAAGAGGTGTTAAAGTGGGCATTAGTGATATGTTATATTAACTAGAGCTACCTACTACTGTCACTAGAACTAACATTAGACCTAGAACAAGAAACATTTAGATATGTTGCATTTTATGTGGGACAAAGTAAGTAGGTACGCCCTGGTTTCTATGAAAATATACTTTTTTATATTGCATTTTAGCTAAAATTCACTGTATAATATAATTTTCTGCTCTAAAAACTCCTTTCGTGTTTGTATCAACATAAATTAATTAGTTTGATGACCCGTTAGTTTTTGAATGTTTCGAAACTAACAATTACGTATTATTATTGTTGTTGAGTTTAGAGAACCAAGTGTTAAATTATATAGACCCGAATAACTTTGAACGTTCCGGAAGTCGATGTAGTTTACATGAAACGACGCGCCCGTTTCACTTGTTGACAGACAAAATTACAATATGATAATTTACCGAGGGGGAGAGAACACATACGCGTTAAACAATATCCCCTTTAAACCGATAATAATTATACAAAGATGAAAATGTCGCATTTATTTGCTAATGTATTCGTTACGAAATTTTTTCTTTGCCTTGTGTCGTTTCCGTTGAAATTGAAAAGCGATCCGGCCTAAAGCGGTCGTTTATATTCCGCCGCGTAAACGTTCCAACCCAATCAGAGCACCGAAGCTTTGATCTCCATAGTAGCTTGGGCCTTGGATCCTTATTTCAGCTTAACGCAATATCGTGTGTATAGAAGAGGTACTTCCTTCTTGCTGGCAATTTGTATGGAAGTGGAGTGCTTCGTAAAGTGCTAAGCGAATCCGGATCACGGACGACTACTTTCTATCTATTTATTCGATTTAAAAGTACAGATGTGTTAAAAATACTGGGTATATTTATTTACCATATACATGTATTTATATTATCTTTCCTTTTACAATACGATGCTCCTAATAGAGGAAAAAAGATCGCTCAGCTCTGCCAATATTCTCCCGAACTCAGATATACAAAAAATGGCATAAGTGATAATACCATAAAATATCAACCAATTTTTTAAAAATCTCTATGGATGCCAGAAAGGAAGATAAAGATTTGTGAATTGTCAATATAAAAATATAATTTTGTAAATAACAGTACCTTGAGAAAAAAGGGAAGTGTATAAGTACCTGTATAAGGATACAAAATTTTCTAAAGTGATCTTTACACATAGTATATCATTTACAAATTATGGCCAAAAACTTGGTACATAATACCTGTAACTTGGGATATAAAGGAATTAATCAATAAAGATGAGATAGCAATTTTCCTCAACCACAAGCATACTTCACCACAGCAAGCATTGACAACCGCGACAAGATAATGACTTCTTGAGAATGATGGGAAGCATATTCATGACAAAATGTTACAAAAGCTCCTAATTTAATTTTTTGCCAATATGATTTTACCTAAAACTATAGCTGCAAAGCTTCATACGTGCTTTTTATAAGAATACTTTCTAGATTAAAGAAAATGTGTGTTCTATGACACACATTTTCAAATAAAATGAAACCGACAAGAACAGAAACTAATTGACTTACAATGTTGTTATATTGTGGATTGTTTAAACGTAGTTTTGCCTTAAGTGTTATTTTCAGCTACTTTGCTGTTTGCGTAGATACTGAGTATGTTGTAAGGAAATATATTCGCTCTGTTTTGTTGCTCTAGTATTAATTTGGTTTATACAGAGATGTAATTTGCAGATGTAATGTAGTATCGTAAACAAATGTTGCATGCTGTATTATCTTGGCAAGTAATTCAACATCTTGGTGTAATTGTTCCTCAGTTTTTAATGGAACTAAGAGTTGAATCAATTGTTCCAAATCTATGTTGAAACTTTGGCAATCTGTTCGTTAAAATTTAGACCAATTAGTTTTTTGATAACAACAGGTTTCATCCCATTACCATCCATAACAGAAGAGGTGAGTAATCCAAGCTTTGTTGCAGCATAGAAAGGATATGCGACAAAAAGAATTTAAAGAAAGAAGAAAGATTTCTACAAGATAAATAAATAAATAACCCAAGCATTCAACAAGCAGGTTGGGTTACAACCTCGACGTAAACCCAACCCAACCCAAATACCAATGAGATATTACTTTCGATTAAGATACAGAATGGACAATCATCAAGAAGTGTTTACATTTTCGCACAACTTCTAATTTTGTTAACCCACCCAAAAGAGATTTACTGTGTTGAAGAAGACAATATAGTGCATATCTTAAATATTCAAAAAGACAATCGTCATTCGTGTTAATTTAGGTGAAAGTCAAGGAAAGCCCTAGATTTCCACTTCATAGAAGGACAACTGTTGATAATGATAATTATGGTCAACATGTATACTTTTAACGTTATATTTCTCCCCAAATGTTTCCCATGTACTGTGGAATATTGGAAGGTACAATGTAGCTTATTTAATTATTCAAACAAATTTATTTTTGTATATTATTTCTACTTCATTCATAGTAACACAGTATATTTTTTAAATAAGATTATAACATCGTACATGAATATATTGTAGGAATCTTCCTGACTTGCATACAATGCATAAAGCTTGAGAGGTAGCAGCTCATTCGAAAATCTAATACCGGTTATAACTTTGAGAAGCGCCGACATTTATGCGATTCGTACTTTGTACTTTGTGAAAACTTAAATATGCAAACCTCGTATGTATGTAAATTGCCGAAAGTGGCCGTAAAGCTCGTAGGACGACCGCGTAATCTATTCCTGCATAAACACCTTAATTGGGGGGCGCTTTGTTTTTATTGGACCCGGTGTGAGTGCTAATCAAGTTCAGCCAGGCCCCCTTTTATTAAATTGGTTGGGTACGAGGCCGCATTTCCGAGCATATTTCAAGTCTTCTACACCTAATTAACGTGCTGATGGTGAAGAGTAAATGGGGTAACACACAATAAAGGGGAATTTGATTCAACAAATCGAACAATTAATTTAAATGGACCAAGAAGAAACAGAAAAAACACCTGTACACATTCGTGTTGCTGTAGTGGTTTTCTGACCACAACGTTTTTTGTTTGTGGGAGATAAAAACGTCCCTCGGGATTCTCGGAGAGTTTTCAACTGGGGATGTACAACGATAAATCCCGTTACGTATGGATTTGTTGGAACCATTTTTTAAATTAACATGTTATCTTTCGAAATGGACTTTTGTATGAATGTTTTTTTTACGTTTGTTTCGTACAAAATAAAATTGGATTGGTCACAGTACTCATATTTCCAATCAGTTTTGTATAGAGAAATTTTTTGTAATAAAATTTTAGCAATCAAAGTGAAAAACTTTGAAAACCTAAAAGTATTGAATTATTCAACAGGAATTATCTTCGATTGATTTGTATATAATATTTAAGGGTATAATAAAAAATGTTGTGGAATGTTTCATCGAATTTGTTATTGAAAATTTGATTTATTATTATATTAATAAGATAATTTGAATTAAAAATGTGATTTAATAAACCTTATCGAAATTGTACGTACTCTTGATTAAGGTTAAAGCGCAAGGAATTCACTACTCGGATGCAACCGGGTTTATTTTTAACTCTAAATATTTTCGCGAGGTGTTATCGCGAAACGAAACTTAAACGACTGCGCTATGCTGAGTAGGACAAATAAAATAATGGAAGAATAAGATTTTTACAATTCAAATTAACTCACGTGCTGTTCGTTTCGCTGCTTTCAAATCCGACTTTAAAATCGAACCGTTAAAGCGTCGCGATGTTCTAAGAAAATCACTTAAAATACTGTATTTGCAATTGATTCGATTGATTGATGATACTTCGCAAACGATTTAAAAGTTGAACTAAATAGATGACACAATGTGTCTCTCCGATAAACTGTGCTGCGTACACGAACTCGTCGGGTTACTATCAGTTTCTGGTCTAATAATAAATCGACGTGTTTGCGTTCATCTCTTTAAACATTTTTGATGCGTACATTAGATTATTGGAGGAATGACTTTTTAAAGAAATTTTATAAATAATTTATATATTTGTTACTAAGTTATTTATTTTTAGCGAAATACAAATAGATTGGGTTAAAACCGATTGTTTTAAAAATAGTTCGTATTCGCACCTAGACATGCCTGTTTATATTGTTGTTACTTAATCTTTATTGGCCTTGCAAACACAGACTATAATTGAACTTTGAACTTGTTGTTTCAAACGAAAATAACTGAAGTATTAAGAAATAGATAAATTTGTTATTAAAATTTATTCGATTAAAAATAACAAATAATTAAAAACAAAATAAATTTATTAATAATACTTATTACGTGTTTGTCGAATGCTTTTCAATCATTGTTACAGAAGGATTTAAAAGTAATTTTACATCAACAGTAGTCTTCCACCAATGGTACCAGGGTAAAAATTGATCTTTGATCATTAAATACAAGGTGATAACATATCCAAGTAAAATGATACATAAAAATACAGACACGAATCCCTTAGTCCAGATCTGATTAATACCCAATTTTTTCGCTTCAAGCACAAAATACTGCATTCCCATAATACAAACGGCTATAAGACCGATTGTGACTGTTGTAAGAAGCGCTGCGATGACGCAATCCGATTGAACGTGATTTCTGTTGCGAGGATGGCGAATCCAAATTCTTAAACTCTCGCATAATCCGTATCGTTGAGTTTGAATCGAATTGTATCGAAACATGCATAATTCGCAATATGTCCTACTTACTTGGTTCAACCATCTTTCTAAACATGGCAAATGAACGTAAGCTAACGTCCCTTTACAGTTGCATGGTGAAATGAGGATCTCATCGGCGGAATGAGTCTGACATATCCTGCATACGATCGAACTGGCCGAAAATGTTGCCGTAGCTGGTCTGGATTTATCAGATTCTACTTGCACATTTGTTACTCCATATGAACCATCCGCCACGGACGGACTTTGTTTTGCATCAATCGAAGTTTTGATACCATTGTGTTCTTTGTCGTCTTTCAGACTAACGACAGACATAATTTCGACAATTTCATCATTTTGACGTTTCCCTTCACTATCTTATAATAATATATGTATACTTATAATCAATTATTACGTTTATTACATACGGTTTGTGCTGCGTAATAGGATGGACGTATTCGTGAAATTACATTCGAATACTAGTATTAATAGGATCTTATAGTTCTATAGCGTCAAGTAATTCGAGATCTAAACAGTTATTGGTTTAAAGCCTGATTAATTACCTCTCCATGGAAGGTTGGTTGAGTAGTACAATGGAATTGAATCCTCACCAAAACGGAATTTCATGCCTATCGTTTTCGTAAACAAAATTCGAATCCCTCTCTTATTAACATGATACCGTCGCTATGCATATAATTAGCATATGTTTATTTAGTGCAACGAGGAATATCACAACGGCGCTACCATCCAATTTATTGCATACATACCGGAAAGTACACACGTGTACCTCCACGGGGTTCCTCTCTATACGAATTTAGGGAATATACAGGATTTGTAGATGAATTACGATCTGCCAGACAACCCGCTGCTATTTGATGGTACACGAAAACTTCGCACATAGCAAATATCGTACGAAAATTAACTAGTTTCAGTTTACAACTTTAATCAGTTTTATGTCCTCGGGAGATCGTTAGATTTTATTGGTTAATAAGAAGCAATATTTGAAAATTAATTCTTTATTAATAACTATTAGTAAAATAAAGTATGTTTTGACCTAGTTAGATGGTAAGATCTTATGGTGATGATAAAAGAGAATCCTTTATTATGGCCAAAAAGGGAGTCGTATAAGAACCATTACACGAATCAGAATCTGATGGAAAGTATTGGTGAACTATTCGAGATGTGGTCAATTATAAATACGTCATATTCTTTTACAACCCCCCAATGAGTACGATATTTCGAAGTCGACTCTGCCACCATCTCGGGTACACAGGAAGGAGTTATGAGGGGCCGTGGAGAATGTTTAATACCGCAATTCGTTACCGCGCCACCAGTGGGAAAGATCGTAAAGATTGCAATCTCGGAGTTATTGAATAAAATATATGATTGTTTAGGAACTTTGTTGTGGCACTCGACGACGTGACTTCAAAATATTTCTTATCGATAATGATTTATCAATACTTTTATGGAAAGAAAATCTTTTCATAATATTAAAGAAATAAGTTGTATTAGTCTTTAGAATAATTCTGAATAGGCAACTTCTACCCGCAATTAATTGGGTTGTGTTTCACAGAAAATTTATGCGGGTGGTAAATCTAGAAAGTCTAGAAAAAGTACTTAAAACCCTCCTAGCCATTGCAGGCAAATTTTTATTTACAAAACGACCAATCAATTACCTCCTCGGCGTGCAGAATTAACGACCCACTCCTCCCATTTTAACCGTTCGTCTATTCAAACGACTTCGAGCAAATTTATTTCACTATCACACCCACTTATATTGATTGAACTATTTATTACGCACTATAAAGGAGAGGATACCAAAGATATCACGATTTTTTGAACGTCAATCCTTTAAGAAAAATTCAAGATATCAATCATATTTTAACTCTCACATATCATATTTTAAATTGCACTTTAAGAAATTCGCATCTCAAGACTGTATACTGATTTTTGACTCTCAAACAAAGGAGACAAAAAGCAACACCTCTCCCCTAGGATAAGGCGTGAAGCCTTCCTAAGATGATTCGTTCAAAGGCTGGGTGGGGACATACTTGGACTTTTATCAAAGACTGATTGTAGAGTGGAGCAGGAATCATCCCGAAGTGATATCTTAAAGTGCCTTCATACAAGGATCAGGTTGATAAATACGTGATCGTGACTATTTATGTTTTCAAATACGATGAGTGTATGCTATTAAGTACTTGAATGAAGACTCAATACAACGTATTGGGATATAAAGTGGCATCAGATGTATGTATGTATGTAGTTCCAAGTAAGGTTGGTTAAACAACAGGTGGTGTAACCAAAGCACTTAGGCCCCAGCGGTCCCTTTGTGGATCCTAACGGTTTACTTCGGCCATATGTATGTCTATTTTTGGAGGAGTGAAAGATGTTTGAAAATTATCATTCGTGGCATCAGTTATTAGCAATTATAATCTTCATGGAACTCGTCGTTGCTCCTGTCATGGGCTTTCTACTGTTAAACTGTTACTTTTAGCATCTTGACGTTATTATGAACTGCTTCTTACCCATCCCGCAGAAGATCATTATTTCCTTCTTACTACAGTTCACAAATACTTAATACCAGGAAGTTTTTAATATAGATAAGAACTACTTTTCAGAGTCACTCCAGGGTCTACAGCGCAACGTAGAGGTAATATTGAAACGGGTCAAGGTCATTCAAAATTCTTGTAGGTTCCTTATACTTACTGTAGAATAGGTCAGAGCATCACTGGATGGTACTGTCTCAATTCAGAGTGACACTATACTGGACAACAATTATCTTAAATCCTCCAGAGTAGCTAAGAGTTACGCTAGAGTGTGATATAATCATTCCAAACTTTCTGTAAAACATGTAAAACACTTTTAAAAACATAATGTACGCCAAATTATCTCGAATGTCAATGATATTCTGTAACACTAAAGTGAAGGCACCAAATTATGAAATAAAGGAGTTGCTCTGGTATCCCAAGATTAGGTTAGTTTAGACTCATTCCAAACATTTCAGACTAGGTCGCAGTTTCTGTACATTAACCAGACTCGTTCTGAACAATTCCTGACTTTTCAGAGTAGCTCAAAGTTGCTATATAGTGGTTCAAAGGTATTCGTGAGGCTTCAGAGTGTGTTTCTAGAGTTTCCAGAGTGCCTCAAATATACTCCAAAGCATCCTTGATTTCACATCTATCTTATAATAACTAGTTCAAACCTCAAAATTACTCTACACTCTCTATTTCAGAATTATTTTAGACTATTTAGCAAGCCAGATTGCAGAGTAGGTGAACAGTAGAAAGTCAGAGTGTGTTAGAGCCATTTCAAACACTCCAGATTTGACAGAGTCTGCAGAACCTGAGTAACTGAAAAATTCTTCAAGACACTCTACGATCCCAGATAATTCAGAAGATAAATTGTTAATCATGGTAATTACGACCAACAAGTACCTAAAATTCCACGTCCGAGATTTCAAATACACCTTACAATAAGTTAATTAGACATTGATCTAAACTTATAATGTAAGTATTATCTAGGATTTCGAAATAGTAATTTGGTTCATCGCCTTAGGAATCTCACTTGAATACATATAATCTCGTCTGAGTTTCTGTAGCGATACTGGGACGCTATTCCACATATCCTTTGAGTACGATAGATAATTATTTGGGGCGGTGGATGACATTAACGTGCCCGTTACGGTAGCCGCAAACCACCGTCGCGTTAATGGTAAAATGGACGCGAGGTACGGAACATTTGTTGAAACGCGCCATTAATAATGCGCATATGTTCCGTTCTTGTTAGCGGGCATTTCCTATTGCCTGCACCTCGTTAATCGGCGAAACTGTCCGCCGATGTTGCAGGTCGCTGTACTACCTACTAGTCTCACATGCAAATATTTCGACGGAGACGAATTGCGTCGAGCTGCAAACCGCGAACTGCAATGGCACGTCCCATTAGGATTGATATAGTGTCAACGTGTTAGAAAAGAACGTTGTTTGTGGGTCGGTTGTAAATTAGTTTTGCAAATCAGATCGAACATTTGGGGATTTTTGTAAATATTGGTGAAGAAAATAAAATAAAATTATACCCCTTAACCTGAATACGTCGTGACCCTTATCCTCTTCTATGACCTAGATTAAATCCAGCAAGATCACTTATTATTTTTTCAATCTGACACGTCCTTGCGTTACGACGGCAGTTTCGTGTGCGAATCGAAGTATCGATTGCGATTCTATTGCTCCTCAGGAGCCACTCTGGACGATTTTGAAAAAGGATCGGAAACGTCCGGAACGGCCGGTCGTTAAGGGCAACAGATATTGTAGATTATCCCTTATGGTGTAGCTGCTGCTACCCGTACAGCGATACATCGTTACTTCCGGCCCCAACTCTCAAGCTTCATTGTGCCAAATTGCATTTCCTTTAACATAAGTTCCACTAGTATGTTCTCTGTATAAGAAATAATTTGTATTTCTTGTTTTACATTAATTCCAACAATGCACAAAAAGATTTCTTTTTGTGAATTGTGTTCACCAAAAAAATTTCTTTGTAATTTACGGGCATTATAAATTTTCAGTTCGTTGGCTATTATGAAACCGCTTTTAATGATTACCTCATACAGTGTAAAATCAGATAATTGGTTAGTGAATGGAAAATCCAGGAAGGACATTGTATATGATTTTAGCAACACAAGAATGATTAACGCTGTTATAATAAATATCCAGAAAAAAAGTGGTTTAAATTAAAACACGATGGGAAATAAATTAAACCAGTAATAATTTTGAATTTCTCGTATACACACTGCCACCATAAATCGCAATTAATTCCGTTCCTGTATCTACAAACCACAAAGCACGCAAACGATTCAAAGCACGGTACAACCAATCGAGTACCGGAAAAACGGTAAAAACGTGAGCGTCATATTGGGATTAAAACGTGTATGTTATGCGTTTTCCACACTTATTATGGATTTGAATGTGAAATGGAGCAGGTTTTTATGTAAACAAAACGTTTTTTCATCGTTAAAACGTGCTTGTAATGTTTACCGATCTCCTACAACTTCAAATGTATGTCGTTATAAAACCTTTGATTTAAAATTACTAATTTAAGAAAATATATATATTGATAAAGGTCTGTTTAAATTGCGTTACCAAAATGGAACCATAAAATTGAACGTAACATGTAATTTTTGACGAAAGCTATAAAAGGACAGGATTTATATCGAAAACCCATAAAAAAATCTCATTTATTTTTTGTTCGCAAAATCGATCAGGACAATCCCTAACAGAAAACAAATTTTCCAACGAAACTTTTTCAAGGAACCAATGAACTTTTTATTCGCCCACGATAATAAGATATAACGGAACAACAAATGAGGTCTTGCTAAAATATATCTTGTATTTCGAGTGCGGTCACACACGTCTGTTTTTCATCTATCTTTTCCACACCCACGTTCCCGGTCCATTTTTTTCATCCCCTTGGGTTTTTCGTAGATAGGGTAACGCAGAATTTTCCTGTCCAGATGAAAATCCTACGTTCTACTGTCCCACGTCGGAAAAACAATATATTGGATTTCTAGGGAGAGGTTTATGTTCCGTATTAAACTTTAGGTTATTTAAGCCAGACTTTTTTGTAGCTTATAATACCAATGGGGATAACAACATGTTTTTGTGTAGGTGT